AGTGCACTTCCCAGGTCCAGCATGAAATGAGGTTTGACAGAGTCAACTCCACCCATCCTCCACCCGTCCATAAAGTCAGCTCCCCACCAGAGCCGTTTCCGCGCCTGTACTTGGACAGTGATGGAGCCACGCCTGGGTGGCCGTAGGGACCGGCTGAACCGCTCCCGCTGTGACGTGGGTGTATTCTGGGTTCGACACTGACTAGTAACCGCTGGTGTTTATTTTCACAATGACCACAGGGAAGGGATGTGAGCAGGCGGGAAGCCCAGCAGCACCACCACCTGCCAGGCTCTCAGAGGGACCCTTTTGTCCACGCAACCCTGGATCAAGCCCTGCGGTCTGTCTACACGATGGGAGACCGCTGAGCCATCAGGAAGGCTTGTGGGAAAGTCGCCGTTTGCAGCAAAATGGGGGGTGTGCTGGGAATACCCTGGAAAAGTAGTGGGCACTGGGGAGGCAGCTGAGGTTGGAAGAGGGGAGGCGGCATCAAAGGCCGGCTAGCAAGTGAGCTGATATGAGCAAACTGTTGAGAGCAGGGTCTGGCGTACAGAGGGCACCACGGTACGTGATCGTTTATAGCAGCGGGAAAAGGGGGGAACGTGATAAGCCGAGGCCTGTGCTCCCAAGAGTTCACGCTGCCCCCGCAGGCCACAGATTCGGAACAAGCGTCAGAAAAGAGGGCAAAGGTGAGTCCCTGGCCGCCTGGAGTCCTTCGTGGGCTGGAGATGCCTTCGGGGCGCCCTGCAAACCAGGGGGGTTTCCTGCACTGCACCGCTTTGGCTTCCCTTGGGCTTGGCTGTGCCTGAACCCCGACAGGGGAGAGGAGACAGCGGCCTCCTCCTGGGTCTCCGGCCGCCCCCTCCCGGGAACAGCTCGCAGGGCCCCCTGCCACCCCGCCCGCCTCCTCGCCTTCCCTCGCCACCCCGGGCCCCCAGACTCTCACCCAGATCCCAGATGTAGGACTCGTAGCTCATGCCTTCAGGCGCCCGTTGAAAATTCAAGCAAGAATACGCCACGGCCAGCTTTCGGTTGCCATCAGGGTGCCAGGAGAGGTGTGTGGCCGTCCGCTTGATTTCCTGGGGGTCCCTTTAAGGAGCAGCATGACTGGGGTGCACAGCTCCCCAAATGTCTTTTTTTAAAAGATTTATTTAAGTTAATTTATGCATAGGAGAATGGCGTACAGGCCAGAGGGGGTCGGTGAGAGGACTCCCCAGAGACAGAGTGGGGAGCAGGACGCGTGGGTCTACTGAAACCCACTGCTGAGGGGAGCAGTGGGGAGTCAGGAGAGTTCTGCTGTGCCCTGGGGCTCACTCCCTGGTCGCAGTTTTGATAGCGCTGAGACTTAACCCCTACGCCACCAGGGAGACCCCCGAATGTCCTCTACTAAATTTCTCTGAAAAGAATTGAAGTACATTTAAGGAACCATTTCACTGAGAGAACTGACCTGAACAGCAGCATCTACACAACACCCCCTTAGTCAGAACACCCCCTCAGCAGCCACACACTGAAAATGATGATAAAAATTAAAGGTGGCGACGAAATATTAAGTTCCAGCCTGATCGTCGCACTTGCTGAGGGTTTTGAGCCTCTTAGTGCCAACATAGGAGAAAGGATGGAGCCAGCTCTCAGGTCCTTGGCAGCATTCGCCAGGTGGAGCTGAAAATGTTTTTCCTCACAGATACCCACACACCACGGTCCACAGCAGCCTTCTCGGATTACCACACTCAGCACCAGCCAGACGCCGCGGGTGCACGGAGAATAAAACGCAGACATGCAAGGGCATTTTGCAGCGCTGCAAAGAAGTGAGCTCTCAAGCCCCAGCAAGGCGCGGTGGAGACGCAGTGTGGGCTACGAGGCAACAGAACCGATGTAGCCAGGCTGGACGCGTCCACCTGGAGCCGTGTGGAAAAGGCAAAACCACGGCTAGAGCAAAAGGCCGTCAGCGCCAAGGGCTCGGGGAGCGACGGGCAGAGGCCACAGCGGAGCTTTCGGGCAGGGAAGCGGTTGTGGGCGATGTGTTGGTCTCCCACACAGGGCAGGCCCTGAGGTAAATGGCGCACGTCGGCCGCACTGCAGGATGTGTGTGTCTCAGGCAGAAACTCATCTCCCCGCAGTGCTACTAGGAGCTGGGCCCCAGTACCGCAGGGGGGCCGTGAGGGCGGAGCCCTTGCGAGGGGAGTTAGTGCCCTTCGGGACGGACTCGGGACGTCCCTCAGCACCCTGTGCACAGCATCGCCGCCCTGCCTAGCCTTTCCTGGGAGCTGTCCTTCCTCCCCACCAAGCAGACCTGCCCCAGGGTAGAGCCAGTTTGCATCCGGGGTACCTTACTATTCTGCCCCTTAGCAAGCCCGGTGCACAGTGGGCATCCCCCTGGGCACAGGGTGATGGGCAAGGAGTCCCGTCCTGAGTGCTGGCCCCTGGGGTGACAGAGGGTCGCCAGGCACCGGCCTGCCTGCAGCGGTACCTGAAAACATTGATGGTTTTAGCTGAAGGGGCTTCTTCCATCACCTCCACCGCATCGTGGTCATCAAAATACTCCTGGTAGATGTCAATGGCATTGTTCTGCTTGATGCAGTGCTCCATGACCTGGGCAGGGCACACGGGGGTTCTAGAAGCAAAGGGAGCTCCGTTCGCCGTGACTGGGGCTGGGGTGGAGTCTCGGGGGTAGGAAAGGCCTCGTGGCCTTCTCCCGCCCGTCTGTCTCCCATTTTCAATGGAGTGACATCGCACCCATGGTTCCTGGGGGGCATCCCTGGTAGCCCAATGGGTTAAAGTGACTAGGAAGCTGTCTGCAGCCCCTGCAGCACGAGTTCCATCCCCGGCCAGGGAGGGACCCTCAGGGCGCGGCAGACCTCTCCTGTCTCTTAGCATTGGGTTTCAGTGGATCTGCATGATGCGTCTTCTGCTCCCCACTCTGTCTCTGGTGAACCCTCCCGCACCTCTGGCCTGTACCTCCGTTCTGTATACGTAAATGAATAAACTTTTTTTTAAAGATTTTATTTATTCATACAGAACGGGGGTACAGGCCAGAGATGCGGAGGGTGAGAGGATTCACCAGAGACAGAGCGGGGAGCAGAACAGGCCGACTGATGAAGTCCACTGCTGAGGGAAGCAGCGGGCGGGTCAGGAGAGGTCTGCCGCGCCATGTGGTCACCTCCGGGGCAGGCGGGGATCGAACTCACGCGGAAGTGGCTTAAGCTTCTTAGTGCTGTGCTTTAACCCGCTGTGCCGCCAGGGAGGGCCCTGAATAAATCTTTATTAAATAAAAAAAAAAACCTGTTTCCTGGGGGTAAAATGATATTACTTTCTATGGACAAAGCACAGACCTGCCGCACAGACCGAGATCTATAGTACGCCGAGGGCATTAATGTTTCATGCACACGGTGGGGGGAATGTCAAAAAGGCTCACTGGGAGGAGGCGTTATGGTGACAGAGCAGCGTGAGCCTGCCCCACACACCCACGATCTGGCCTCCCTGCTCCTCCACAAGGAAAAGCCCGAGCTCAAGCACTCCCTCTTCCAGGAAGCCTTCCCTGGTCCCTTCAACGGGAAGGGAATTCTCCGGTCTTACAAGCAACAGGCAGGAGCCCTCTCACATCTTCTCGTTCTGAGTTACCTGTCGGTAGCCCTGCGGTTGTCCTGGCACTCAGGGGCAGGGTATGTGAGCATCTCACCTTTGCAATCTCTATCACATGTGGCAGAGACCAGAAGCCTAGTCCAGATGTGGCAGTGACAGACTGATTCTGCCTGCAGGTGGCTGCTGGGTGGGGCTCTCTGGGGTCCCCCGTCCAAGGGGTTTCCTACTTTCAGGCGCCGCCTAGCGCGCTTTCGGCCCCTGCACCTGCTCCTATCCGCTCTGGCCTCCGGCTGTGGACCTGTCTGCCCGCCCTGAAAGCAGCTTCCTTATGGCACCAGGTAGCCTCAGGATCCCAGCACACAGTGGGGGGCGGAGGGGCAGCGGGGCCCCACGGAGCCGAGGAAGCCTCACCGAGCCCAGCTGCATGATGGCGTTGATGTAGTTCTCATCCTTCTCTATCTTTTTCCGGAAGCGGATTGTCTGCTCCAGCTCCAGAGGGTTCACGTCTTTGGGCCAGCCCCCCTCAATGTGGTTGACACCCCGCGTCTCCATCTCGAACCGCTCTGTGTTGGCCTGAACAGAGAGCCTCGTGAGAAGACGCCACCCTGGTGCTAGCAGAAGCCTGGGGTTCCCAGGCCCCAGACCCCAGAGTGCTGGGGGGAACTGACGAGGTGCCTTAGGCCAAGGCTGCAGCAAGGAGTTTTCTGGTCTCCAGGTGGTGACGGGCAGTCACGCAAGCGTCGCCTGCAGAGCTCACGGCTTGACACCAGGAGCCGTGAAAAACCCACTTGTGGCTTTAGCTGAGTCTGCGTGGACAGGAGGATTCACCCAGGGATCGAGCCATGGAAACAGTCAAGGGCCTGGACCTGCTTTGCCCCCAGAGAGAATGGCACCGGTGCTGTTTGACCCCTTCAACTTCACCTTCTTGCCTTTTTTCCAGATTTTAAAAGTTGTGGTAAAATAATGGTAGCATAAAATTTACCACTTTTATCATTTAAAAATGCATAATTTTGTGGCATGATGGACATTCACAAAGTCATGCAATGATCACCATTACAGAACTTTTCCTTCACACCCCAAGGGGTGAGCCGGGCTCACCTCACGGAGCAGTTTCTCCCCTTTCCTCTCATAAGTCATCTCCTCCAAGAGTACAAGTCTTCACAGGGGGAGCTGCGGCAGGAGACCCAAACCTGGCGGCACCTTCACGGTGGCCGTCTTGTCCAGCTGGCCACGGGCAAAATGGCCTTGGTCCCTCCACAGCGGCGGGCCCCAGCAAACAACTCAATTCCTTTGAGCGTCCCCGGAACCACCCACCACAGCCTGATGGCTGGAGGTTTTTGGCAAAAGCATGATAAATGAAAATTTCATGATAAGACGGTTTATCTCCTTCAGTCTAATTTTCTTTCTGTAGCTCTTGACATAATCAGGACATAATGTGCTTCTGGTCCACACCGGGAGGTCTCTGGGGGTCTCAACAACACCATGAGTCTTGGTTCTCTTATCTTGGGGGTCCCCCTGACCAGAACTTTCTACAGGACCGTTTCCTTTTCACAAGCTGGGCAGTTGCCTGTGGATACAAATCCCGGCTCCCCCCCAAAACTTCCCCCAACTGTACCAAATTCCTAAAAGGACAGTGAGGATGTCTGTGGTGAGCCCTGGAGTGGAACATCTTGATCTACATTCACTTGGCCCAGAATATTCTGGGTCTCCTGGGCCTGGGCCTCAAGGCGGACCTTGGGGCGCTTCTGTCCTCACACATCCAGCACCCACCATCGTTTCCTCAAACTGGCCTCCGGGTAGATGGATCCCCCAGTCCACCTACCTGCCCTCGTCACTCCCACCTACCCGCACCCCAGACCACGCTTCAGGGCCGGCCGCCGAAGCCTCGCACCTCGTGCTCTGACATGCTGGTGGAGCACTGGACGCCCGTGTCCACCGGGTTCCGCTCGATGTACTGCTCAGCCAGCTCGGGGTTGGGTGTAATGTCGATGTTCAGCTCTGCCTGGCGGTCTGAGAAGTTGCATTGTTTCCCAAACTCGCTGCGCTTCTTGAGGTACACATACACGATCTCCATGGTGCCAGCCGCTGCAGGGTACAGGGGGTACGCGGTGAGGGACCCCATCCCAACCAGCCGCACCAGACACCTCCAGGTTTCCAACTGGTTGGGGGCGGGGGGTCCCGGGGGCTGTGTCCAGAAGCTGCATCTGCCTCTTTTCAAATCAATTATGGGGGCCTTCCTGGTGGCGCAGGGGTTACAGCACTGTGAAGCTACCAGCAGCCCCTGCAGCCCGAGTTCGATCCCCGGTCAGGGAGTGACCCACAGGGCGCAGCAGACCCCTCCTGGCTCCCCGCTGCTCCCCTCAGCAGTGGATTTCAGTAGATCCATCTGTTCTGCTCCCCACTCTGTCTCTGGTGAATCCTCTCACCTCCCACACTTCTGGCCAGTACCTCAGCTCTTGTATGCATAAATAAATCTTTTTTTAAAAAGCCAACATTAAGAAAATGGTCAACATAGGGAAATATTTGCAAATCATGTTTCTGATAAAGGACTTGTCCCCTGAATGTACTGAGCCTCGCTGTGTCCTGGGCACTGTGACGAGCAGGCGACAGGCACTCGCACTGCACCACCTCGACCCCCAAACAGCTGTCATGACCCTCACTGCACAGATGAGGAAACTGGCTCCTGGGAAGACCTTGTCAAGGTCAACCTCACTGAGGTTAACCGGCAGTCCGTTAGACTGCGCTGGAAGCTAGAGCGCAAAAGGCAAAGGACGCGCTTTGACCTTTGTATTCATGGGCAGTTTATCTGCAAGTGAGCCAGCCTGAGCCAGCGGCACCCACTGACCCTGAAAGGAACCCAGGCTGACGTGAGCTGGAGCCGGGAAACTCAATCCACAGCTCCAGTTATCTCTGCATGAGCTGCCCTGGAACTAGCCGGTGACCTTCAGCCAAGTCCATACTTCTTTGCCTTTGGCCACACTTTATTTTTTTTAAGCTTTATTTATTTCTGCATATAGAACTGGGGTACAGGTCAGAGGTGCAGGGGTGGTGAGAGGATTCAGACAGAGTGGGGAACAGAACAGGCGGATCGACGAAGTCCACTGCTGAGGGGAGCAGCGGGGAGACAGGAGAGGTCTGCCGCGCCCTATGGGTCACCTCTGGGGCGGGGATCGCGGCCAGCCACCAGGAAGTGGCCACGCTTCAGTTACTCAACCCTGGTTCCTGAAACCTCTAGAAGTTCATTCTCTTTTTTTACCTTGGAGGCAGACTTCAGTTTCCAATCTGCTCTCTGTCAAGTGACTTACAATAAAGCTTCTTCCTTTTCTCTCTCCCGTGCCTGGTATTGGCCTGTGCTCAGCGTGCCAGTAGCCACTGGCCCGCCGTCAACAGTTCTTAAGTCCAGACGGAGCCAGGACCCAGACACAGTTGACTCTAGAGCAGTGGTTCTTTTTTTTTTTAAAAAAAGATGTATTTATTTATGCATTACAGAGCTGGGGTACAGGCCAGAGGTGCCTTGCCAGGGGTGGTGAGAAGGTTCCCCTGAGACAGCACGGGGCAGAACAGGCTGACTGATGAAGTTCACTGCTGAGGGGAGCAGAAGGTGGGCCAGGAGAGGTCTGCCGCGCCAAGTGGGTCACCTCCAGGGCAGGTGGGGATCGAACTCCTGTTGAAGTGGCTTTAGCTTCTCAGTGCTGTGCTTTAACCTACTGGCCACCAGGGAGGACCCAGAGCAGTGATTCTTAACCTTGCTCAGAGTATAGAAATACCTCGAGGGCTTGATAAAAAGCACAGAGCTCATGGGCCCTCCCTGGTGGCGCAGCACTGAGAATCTAAAGCCGCTTCCGCATGAGTTCGATCCCTGCCTGCCCTGGAGGTGACCACATGGCGCGGCAGACCTCTCCTGACCTGCCCGCTGCTCCCCTCCGCCGTGTACTTCGTCTTTCTTTTTTTTTTGCTTTCCTCTCTTTGTGTGGTTAATTTTTTTATCATCCCTGCACCTCTGGCCTGTACCCAATTCTGTATCCATAAATAAATAAATCTTTAAAAAAAATAAATAAATAAGCACAGAGCTCAGGCTGACCCAGACTTACTAAGCAGAATCTCAGCAGTCATTTTTAACCCGTCCCTCCCCCACCCCAGCAATCCCCCTACAGCCAAGCTCAGGATGGCCAATTTCAAGATTTAAAGTGAGGGCTCTTAATGGCCCAATCAGCATCTCTCGGATCTGAGCTGTTCATTCAAAATACAAAATACGGAAGTCCCAGCCCCCTGCTGCCAGTGCTGCTCTGCAGGTCTGGGGTGGCCCTAGCACCCTATGATTTTGCACAGTCATCAGATGAATATCGGGGCCAGTAAGCGTCTAACCCAGGGTGTTCCCCCACGCCCATCTCCAGGCCTGCAAGGAATGAGATCAGTGGCTCTGGCTGCTGACCCCAACATGCTTCCAAGCATGTACTGGGGTGGCTTTGGGCCCTGGAGGCCCTGGGGGAGGGGGAGAGCAGAATGGGGACCAGGGTCGGGGGGCCTTGGGTGACCTTAGGTCTCTTTGCACCCAAACACGCTGAAAAGCATCACCCTACCTGCTGCAGAAGAGCTTAGCTGGTCCCAGCTCTCAGAAAGCAGACCTTCCCCTCCTCCACGGGTCCAGGACCCCGCCTCTACCCGAGGAGGTAGAAGTAAAGGCTGGAGGGCAGAGGGTGGCACAGAAGCAAAAGTTGCCAGTGCGTTTGGGGGACAAAGACGGGGCTGGTGAGGAGCTCATCAGCACATCGGGCTGCTTCTCCCCATGGGGCACATAGTTCAAGCTAACAGGCCTGCACCTGGGCCCCCCACAGGCCTGGCAGGCTCTGCAATTACCGGCTGCCTGCCCCCCTCAGTGAAAAGACAATGGCTGTGAGCCGGCAGCTTTGAGAGCCCGCCGGGAGGCTGAGAGGTGAGGAAACTCCAAGCAGACAAAAATAACATCTTTAGCCCAGATCATATTTTTAACAACATCGCTAAGAGCTTCCCCAGGCCAAGGACTGAGAACAGAGGCAGCGTGTTTATCTGGAGCAGAGTGCGGAAGTCAGCTCACTCAAGGGCCTGCGAAGATGCACGCTTGGGGGGCGGGGAGGGGGGGCTCAGGGGGCCTCTCTCAGGCCTGGGGGGCAAAGGCACAGACATCAAAAACAGAGGGTGCAACTCATCCACCCGTGGGAGCCAGAGGCCCAGAGGCAGCAGCTGCCGGGTCTCAGACGCAGGATCGCGTGGGCCTGTCCAGCCTCCATCCTGTCACCCACAGTTCTGTGTTCCTAAAGCAAGGTCAGAACTGCCCGGTCACAGGAGCCCAGCCCTGTACGAGGTGCCTTGCACACCACTTAAGAGCATCCTGCATTATGTAGCCTGCTCCTCAACTCCTGTTTCTTTGTCAGTGTGGGGGCTGCTCAGGGGCAGAGCTGAGACCCGCTGGCCCCAACCTGATTTCCGATAAAAGCAACCAGCTCCCGCACCCTGGGGCCCTCCGATCACAACCTTCACCGAGTGAAAAACAGCTGTCGAGCAGTGGTGACTAGCAAGGTGATTCCTGGAAGGAAGCCCGGTGGCTCCAGCCTGGGAGCAAGGAGGGGGCACCAGGAGAGAGCTGGGGGGCGGGGTGTCGTCTCAGGGAGGCCAGGGGCCGCCTGCCCCCCCCCAGCAGTCGCCAGGCGGAAGCAGACCAGAAGCGCGTCGCCCCCTCCCCTGGCAGCAGGTCTTTATGCCAGGGACTGCCGGGCTCTGGGCGGCCCCAGAGGGACAGAGGACATCGGGACAGAGGACAGCAGGGTGGCCTCCTTCCCTCTTTCTAAGGTACTTGGGCACCGTCTGGAGTTTGGGGGCTTAGCTGCCCGCAGAAGAGAGACATCCCCAGGACACTCCCCCGCCCACTGCTTCCCATTGCAGCACAAGTCAGCTTGGGGTAAGCTCCGGAGGGGGTCCCTGAGGACACCACGGGCAGAGGAGTGCCCCAGACTGGAAGGTGACGCAGGTCAGTCTCCCCACTGCAAAGCCACCTCCTGGCCGGGTCTTAGCAAGCCGCACGCCCGCCCGCCCTCAGTGCCTGGCACAGCCAAGGAGCCCACGACCCCGTGTGGTGAGCGCTGTGAACGTGACTCCAGCCGTCTCCCAGGACTCACCTGCCTCAGCCACACCGGGGTTCCACTCTTTAGGGTCCCTTTAGAAGCCTCCCCCCTCCCCACCGGTACCCTCTCCAGGACACAGGTGCTACCCACCCGACTGCCAGCCGGGGGTGCAGGAGAGCAGTTTGGTCCTGAGACTGAGAGGAGTGAAATTCTTGGGGACCCTGGATGCCTGGCCTGGCACCCACCCAGAGGATGCCCCCAGGAATTGCTGTTGCCCTGCGGATGATTATTACCCTGGGGGGCTCTCCCCTTCTCTCTCCACGCTCCTCTTCAGCCTCAGACGTCCTGGGGGGCCCGCCCTTAACCTGGGTCGGCTCTGCCGCTTCCTGGCCGCGGGAGAAGTGCCCCAGAAGTGCCCCGGGCACCGTGAGCCTCCAGCCCCGACAAACGGCCCAGCCGCGGAGTTTACCCGTCGCCTAGCAACCCCAGCCGGCGGCGCCCCGCGGCGCAGCCGGTCACCCTGAGCACGTGACCTCCGGCCCCGCCAGGTCAGAAGCGCCTCCAGTTCCTCCTCCCTCTTCTGGAGACATCTCTGCAGTTAGGAGAAAAAATAACCCACAAGTTGGCCCAGCAGCGGGGATGACGAAGTTTGTGGGATCCGTGCCAAGGCGCTTATCCACGTCCACAAATATGTCTGGGGCAAGACCCTGGCGAGTGCACATAGACCCGCGCCTGGGGACCCCTCGCGGCCTGGGGGGCCCTGCACTCCGCAGGTCGGTGGCTTGGGATCCGGCCGGTCGTTCCCGACGTCCGCAGTGTCCGGTGAAGGAGCCCGCGAACTGCCAGCCTCGGCTCTCACCATCACCTGGCTGCGTGCCCCTGAAGACGCGCCTGGAGGGCCGCCGCGGGGTTCCCCTCGGCTCCACTTGGGGGTTGGCACATCGTCAGCTCTGATGATTCACTGATTCACTGAACGAGGAAATGAATGAAAGGATGAGTCAAATGAATGTCTCCCGGGGTGAAGGCAAGGAAGTGGGTTGTAAACTACACGGATGGGGGGTTGCCGGCATGGCACCCCGGCTGGGCCAGCCAGCCCCAGTCAATGAGGCCTGGAGAGTGGGGCTGAGGGAACCAGAAATGTGTCATCTAAGAATCTGGGTTTGGAGCTGGGCATTGAAATGGCTGTGAGTAGCAGAGGGAAGGGGGGGGGTTGGCTCCAGACTGAGAGGGGAGAGGCATTGTGGGCATGGGGGTGCCTCATTGTGGTGGGAGTCCCATCCCTGCAGGGGAAAAATGAATGGAATTTGTTAAGGTCAGCCAGGGCCAGTTTGTGGGGGGTCTGAGAGGCAGCCCGAGGCCTGGACAGCTTCCTGTGGGTTTTGGAACAGCTAAACTACAGGAAGAAAGCAAATGCCCCCCCTCCTGCTGCCCAACTCCCCATAAATGTGTCTTCACCACCAGACATCTACCTTTAAGTGGGCAGGTGGGCGTCCCCGCCAGCTCGCCACAGACAAGCCCCTCGGTGACCAGCGGCACCGACTCGTCCACCCCTTCACTCAGGTTTGCGTCCACCAACTTCTCTGAGAGCAAGGACTCCCTTGGGACGGGTGCTGTGGGGGTATCAGGCTGGAGGGGGCTAGGTGGCGCGGGGGTGTCTGGGGCCGGAGGGGGCTGGGTGGGGCGGGGGTGTCTGGGGCTGAGGGGCACCTGCAAGTTTTGTGAGGCAAATCAGAGCCAAGAGCCCGGAAGCTGCAGCCCTCTGGCTGCTACGAGCTGGACCTCAGACCCCTTCTCCCTGCACCCAGCTCTGGGAAGCTGGGGCCCGCTACACGGCCTCTGGGTGGGAAACGGGAGAAGACGGAGAAGTCACGTCAGCCATCTCAGCAATGGCTGTCATGTTCCCACATCACTGCAAGGACTACGTTCGGCCCCGCCCCAACCCTGCCCATTCAGAAGCTGCTTGCCAGCACCCCCAAAGGCAGCTGTTGGGTGGCAACACATCTCAGCCTTGCAGGCCCTTCCCGGGCCCTGGAGCTGGCATGAGCTCATGTAACAGAGGCTCAAGGATCCAGCTGAAAACCATTCGCTTACTGCTAAGCTCTCCAGCCCACCCCCGCACACCCCAGGCAGCCAGGGAAGAGCAGCCCCGTCCACACTTCACTGCCCTGTTCCCTAACACCGTGTTCCCTGCTCGTCCCCTGCCTCTGCTCGTCCTCAGCTCTTTCTCCATCTGCCCCTCAATGCCAGGGCCCACAGTGGACTGTCCCCCACACCGCTCCACCTCCCTCCAGGGCAGGAACAGCCACATTTCCATGGTGACTCCAGATCTGGGGTGCCAGCCCAGGCTTGAGTTGCCTGCCTGACATTTCAAGACTGGTTACACCCACCCTGAAACGCAACTATCAGGAGTGGGGTCCTCCTCTCCCCACCCCACCCCCTCCTCCGCCCTTGGGCTCCAGGCACCTCCCTCCAGGCACCTGATCGGCTAATGATCCTAATGATCAGACTCCTGTGAGACCAGCGACCTCGACCTCCCTCCGTGCCAACTCGTTCATCCGCTCGGCCACTGTCTTGAGCTGGTTTTTTGCAGCCAGAGCCGCGGGAAGGCTCTTTGCTGAGCTTGCAGAAGAGTCTGGAGCCGGCGCGTCTACCTGTCTAGGCAAGCGGGAGACTCCCCGGGGAACAGCGCTGGCTCTCCACTCTCTCCATCCTCACTAGCCAGGACTTGAAAGTGGAGCAAATGTTTGTTTTGTTTAAATGATGGGAAGGGGTCCAAGAGAGTAGAAGAAACTGCAGAATACGACATACCACGCGATCATGTCTCCCCAAAAAAGTGAGAATAAACCCTGGACATCAGACATCAAACGTGGGTGTTTATTTCCCCCACGTGGTTTGGGTTATGGGGGCTTTTCACTTTCTCACAATTTCGTCAAATTTGACATGTGTGCATCACCTTTCTTTTGTAACTAGAAAAATAACGACGATTTAAACCAACCTACCACACTGAGAATCAAAGCGTCTTCCCCAGACGCCCGCGGAGGGCCCTGGGCTGGCCCACAGAACATCCGAGAAGTTGAGAACCGCCAGCCCCGATGCTTCTGTGGTCCCGGGATTTGGAGCGAGTGATGCGCGAGGCCGGGCCAGGGGGCCTGAGCTGTGACAGCAAATGCTGCAGGCTTTGCAGGCTGAGCGGCGAAGCCAGCGATGATTTCGAGCATTCATCTGGCAAGACCCAAAACCAGCTCCCGTACCGCTCCGATTAAAAGACAAAGCATCACGACGACCCACCAAGTATTTTTGCTCTGTCATGCAGTCTAGGGACCAGAAGAGAGTGACTTGGAAGGGGAGGGAACGTTCCGTTAGCTTGTTACATTTTACTCAGTGCATTTTCAATTAAATGAATGAAAAGGAGAAAGAAGGCGAGCCACCTGACTCTACACCTGCTGGCCGCCCAAGCCTCAGTTCCTGAGCACAGACCAATCGAGAGGCAGGACGGGGCCGGCCCTTCGCCAGGAGACCTGCTGGCTGACCGGAGGGAGGTCTCTCAGCTGGGCCTGCCTCAGGGCAAGTGGGCATGGACCGCCCCGGGGAGGGACCCCTCTGTTGGCTGTTCCAGCCAGCCGGAGCTCATGACTTCCCCTCCGTGGCAGGGTCTGGGTCTGGGGCGGGACGCTCAGACTAGTGGCTAACACTAGAGGCTCAGACAATGGCTGGGAGCCCTTCCTGGGGGGAAGAGCTGTGCCGGCTGAGACAGGAGAGGGCGCTGGCACAGAGATCCAACTGTCCTTGCCTGTCCCTGGCCTCGTCGTCCTTTTCTGTAGAGCCAGCCTGCAGCTTAGGGCTCGCTCCAGATCCCACAGCTGAAGTCCCTCTACCCCTCTCCAGCACTCACTGGGCCACAGAGCTGCAGCTACCTGCCAAAATCGGGTGAACTACAGAAAAGCTTGCAGGTTGCTCTAAGCCTTTCCCCCAAGCCCTCCACCTTCTGAGACTAGGGAGAAAGGAGACTGTGCTGCTAGCTGGGCAACGCTTCCACGCAGGGGCTGCTGGCAGGTCCAGCTTCCACCTCGCCCCTCAAATGCTCCCTTCAGGAAGCTCCCTGCACTGCAGTCAATTCCAGAAGCTCAGCGACAGCTTTGGACGATGGGCCAAGAGGGGTCCCTGCCCTGGTGCGCCGCGCGGCTCGGTGGTTTCCAGACCAACGGAGACACCGCCCAGGGTGAATCATGAGGGCGGTGTGTGTCAGGCACCCCTTGGCAAAGAGGCACCCCCACAGGCAGGGTCGGAAGGGCACAGCACGGCCTGTGCGAAGCTGGGGGGCGGCCGCCTGACTCGTCCCCCCGCCCAGCCCCCAGGACCGGCTGGAGGCACTCGGCTTGGGCTCTGGGTGGACGCCCCGGCTCTGCCACTGTCTTCAAGGCCTCCTCGGTCTGCACTGCTGGCCTTTCGCACACGCACTAGCCTCGTGGTAGCTGCGCACTCTGCAGGATGAATCTAAACATGGGTAAGAGTCCCTGGCCCGCTGCATGCTCTCAGCAACCTTGAGATCACCCTCTCGGGGGAGTTTTGGCGGTCTAGGGCAGTCAGGCCTGTCCTTGGTCCCGATGAGCAGCCAGAGGCCACATGCACAGAGACCCCATGACGGTCATTCAGAACCTCACCCCGTCGGGAGCCCTGCACGGCGTAGCCAGCGCCCGTCGGCTCTGCCCTCGCGGCCGGCAGGCGCACAGCTTAGCGCGAGGTTTATTTCTCCCGGGGTCGGCACACACACAAGCCGAGATGCGCACCCCGCTCCTGCAGGAACCCCCCGAGGACTCTGCGATGGCATGTCCAAGCAACGCCTCCGCGCGGCAGTTCCGGTCTGCCCGAGGCCACGCCAGGGGTGTGAGGGACACGGCGTGCCGGCCGAGTCCCGGCTGACCTTGGCCCTCCTGTGGCCGCGTGGCTGAGCTGAGCCATTGCTGTTGCGCTCGGCGGTGACGAGGTGGCTCTCCCAAACCGGAAACAGCTTTCGTCCCAGGCCACGGCCGCCCCAGGTCCCTGCTCTGGCGCCCAGGGCACGGCAGGCCGGAGCCTGGATCGCGAGGCCACCATTCCCCCGTGCCAGCGAGCTCTGGTGCCCGGCGGCCTGGCCGCCGGCTGGGGACAGCGCGGGGGTTGGGCGGGTGCCGGGCAGGGTCACGCACAGTATCCGGGGTGCACCCTTGCTTTAATGACCAACGTCATTGCTCGAGGACAACAGGAAGGCAAGTTGCTCTGGGCAGCGGCCACTTCCCTGGACGGGGGTTCTGAGAGCTGGCCCCCCAGCCCTCTTCCGCTCTTAAGAGCGCTCTTCCCAGAGCGGCTACGGCCGCCAATCGGACAGCGGCCTGGGACAGGATGTCTCACTGGGTCTCCCAGAGCCTCCGAGAGCTGGCCGGCGCCAGCCGAAGAACGATACACAAACCAGATGTTAGAAACGAGCCCTTAATTGACGTTAAAAACTGGATATGCTATGAGTTTCAATTCTTTGGAAAAATGGAAATATGTACAGCACTGGGGAAAAGTTAAAGTTGCTTTTAAAGTGTCTGTTAATACCTGAGACTGTCCGTAGCTGCAGTAAGCTCACAGCGCCGTTGCTGGAGCGGGGGCGGGGGGGAGCGACGTGTCCCGCTGCGGGCGCCGGGCTGTGCCCCCACCCGACCCATCAGCCTCCCAGGCAGAGACCCCAACACCTTCCCTGTGGCCCAGGAGGCTGCTTTGGGCGGTGTCCGGCCTCACGGCAACATCGCTTCCTGGAAAAGCACCTCGGAGCCCTCTCCCCTGTCCTGGGGGTGCCCAGCCGCGAGCCAGGTGGCTCAGGGGGTCACGTGGCCCTCGGTCCCGGTTATGGGACCCTGGGCCTGGCCCGGCCCCCTCGCTGCTACTACCCACTGGCGAGAGTGGGGTGCAGGGTGCATGGAACCGGGCACCCAGCACTGACGGCCTTTGGGAGAGTGAGGGGCCGGGGCCGGGCTGGCCACGTCTCGGCCTTCCGTGGCCCGAGGCTCCGGTCCAGCCCCCCGCCCAGTCTGAGCCGCCACCCTGTGGCAGCAGAGGTCTCCAGGAGCCCTTGGTGTCCACTTGAGAAAGGCGCTTGTGTTCACGGTGACCAGAAGCCCACGTGGACGGAGGGGCAGGGGCCCCGCAGGAGTTAGGCCGGGAACTCGCCGCCGTAGTGCCGCAGACGCTCGTCCGCCACGGACAGGTAGGTGGCCCTCATGCTGGGCGAGTACTGTGGGGAGAGGGCGGGAGGGACGGTCAGGCGGTCACGGCGGCTGCCCCCTCCGCCCGCCCGCTGCAGGGCAGAGCCGGAGGCCCGCGCAGGCCCACAGGCCAGGGGCCGGGGTCACACCAGCTGTGCGCGTCACCACGCCCCGGCTGAGGTCCTCGGCCCTGCAGCGCCCGCGAGCCCTCAGCCCGGTGACAGGCGGAACTGGCCGGCCACCGCAGGTAAGACTTCCTCACTCAGAGCTGATCAAACCGTGCCCCTGAGAAGCGCTGGCGTCTCGAAAGGCCCCGAAGCCCACAGGTGTGAGGGAAGCGGCGCCAAGCGCTTTGCCCGTCTCCTGGCCCAGAGAACTCTGGGGCCCAGGTCTAGGCGGCTCACACCAGCGGTCTGAATGCCAGTGGGGGTGGGGGTGGAGGCCAAGGCATTAAAGAGCTTCTCACCAGGGGTGCGTTTGCCCCCAGGGGCATCTGGAGCATTTTGGGTTGTCATACCTGGGGGGTGGAGTGCTACTGGCACGAGTGGGTGAAGTCTAGGGGTACTGCTCGCACCCCAGGGGCAGGACCCCTGCAAGAGGACCCAGCTGCAGACGTCCGTCCTGCTGGGAGCGAAACCAGCTCGGGCCAGAGCCTCCCGGGGTGGGAGTCAGCTTTTTCTGGGGTCGCATCGGATGCGAACCCCCAGGCCCCACTCTAGATTTTCTGAAACAGAAACAGGATGGGCTCAGCAGCCGGGGGTCACGCCCCCGTGACTCAGGGCTGCGCCTCCCCTGAGCAGCTTTCCTGAACCAGCTCGCTGGCAGGGCTCCCTGGGGCTGGCGCACCGGGAACTTCCGGTGTCTTCCCAGAGACGTGGGCCAGCCCCGGGCTTGGCTTTTCAACAAGGGAACAAGGCGTTTTTGTCCAGCAGCTCTAGGACACGGACCCAGGAGACAAGGAGGGTGGCATCCAGATGACGTGTCCGTGCGTCTTCGCTGTCACCCATCGCAGTGACACCCCTGCCGCCCCAGAGGGCGGATTCAGCCCAGGTCAGACGTGCCGACAGCCATGGAGACCGGGTGGGCATGGGGGCGGCTACGCAGGGGCTGGGCCGTGCCATCCTCACCATTCCCCTGCCCAGGGCCAGGTCAGCAGCATCACAGGCGACCCCTGGGCACCTGGCCCAGCAGGGGGCACGGGGGGCTTCCTGGGGCGGACGGTCAGCTCTGCCAGAGCATTGGGGTTTCTGGGCAGGCCTCCACCCTAGGGAGAAAGGTGCCTTCAGCCCCCAGCTCGTGACCGTCAGCGGTCAGGTCTGACCGGCTCTGCTGACCACGGGAGGGGCCTGGGGCTCGGGGCGGAAGGTCATTTCATTCTGTGCACGACTGTGTCTGCACAGCAGCAGATTCCCGGTTTTTATGTTTTGCTCAGAGGAGTGTTAAGCTCAACCTGCATTCCTGGGGCCACAGTGGTTGGAGAAAAGGGGGACCCAGGAGGCGTCTGCTTCGAGCGAGAAGCCAGACTGGGCTTCAGAAAGTTCCTGAGCAGGCTCCTCCCAGCCCCCTCGGCAGGCCCGGCCCGGGCTGAGTCAGGCAGGTCCGGGCTGCCCGGAGGAGGGAGGCAAGGAGCTCGGGGGTCCGGGCGGGGCAGGCGAGGACCCCGTGTACATGTGCGGCTGCCGGACCCGTGCTGGGGTCATCCGGTGTTACGGGGTGCAGAACAGCACGCCCGGCTCCACACACTCAGTGCCACTAGCACTCCTCTGGTCGTTGACAACCCCAAATGCCTCCTGAGGGGCCCCTGAGGGGCCAATGCTGCCCTGAGTGAGGCTGCCCCAAAGTAGGCTTCACATGCCGCCTGCCCCATAAGGGTGGACCCCACTGGGCGGCGGGGGCCCCCTCTGAAGGTCCCACATTTCCCGAAGACAGGGACAGGGCCCTCATCTTTCCCAGGTCTGCCAGCGCTCACCGGCCGCCCTGTGTGGGCATCCGGCTCTCGGGCCTGGCCTGAGCCATCGGCCCCAGTGTGGAGCTGCCTGGGGACGGGCCCGCGGGCCAGGGCAGACACCTCCTCTGGCCGAGGGCTCGTCCGCCCACCG